TGTCCCTAAACAGTTCAAAATAAATCAAAATATTTCAAAAATAATATCGTGTATAGAAAATGCAAATATAAACAACCAGTGAAAATTTCAAGTATCTACGGTTATTTGTTTCAAAATTACACCAAAAACCAAATTCGATTTTGTGAAAAATCGATTTACCGTAAAAATTCTCGTTTTTAATAAATTTAACGGGTATATTGTAGTTAAGGATAACAGTGTAGTAGTAGTACATTTTTAACTCATATACTATTATTCATACATAGTATGAAAGATTTATGGAGAAAGATTAGTTCGAATTGTTCACCAAAGGGTTGCTGGGCTACCTTTTTAATGAATCATATGCAAAAAACCACATTTAAATATATAATGAATAGATCTTGATGCACTAATACTGGCTCTCAAGTTGAACCCTATTTTGAATTAATATAACAGCAATAACTATAATGAAAATATTCTTTGTGAATTAATGTAATTTACCAATTATCTAATTGTGTAGAGCCCCATAAAATTCTGGCTGCTTTATAAATGATAATTTATCTGAGTACTTACAAAATATAGTACTGGAATTTCATATTTTGAAATTAAAATTGTTTAAATATTCTTTAAAAAATCATAGGGAAATTATTAATTAATATAAAGTCTGTTGTAAAAACGAACTTCAAAAATGTCTTTGTTCCATTTATTAGGATTTAAATTAAGTATATATAAAAATAAAAATTGCATTGAACTGCAATAAAAAAATATGATAGAAAATAAAGTTGAATGTAATCAATATGAATTTAAATAAGACTGATACGATCCGATTGATTTATCAATAAATAATACATTTTAAGTCGTTAAAATGTAAAGGTATGTCAACCGTCAATATTTAGAAAGAAAAAATATTAAGTCTTCGCTTATCAGCTATTAGTTGTATAATATATATAAAATATTTCTTCTTTAAAACCTATTACTGCAGTTATGTTACCAAAGTATTATTTAATTATTCTTAAAATCAAATTTTCGTAGCTCTTTAAACATTTATTTTTACTTAGGCAGGTAGGTTATTCCATTGACATTAATTACTTACTAATAATTGTCAATTTATATTACTCACTAACAATCAATTGATATTACTATTATTACTATATTATCATACTTATATACATTAGGTACTTACAATCGATCAGTTTACAGTTGTTGTTTAAAACTGCCCATATCCTTAAAGACCTCAATATATTTTCATACAGGTAGTGAGTTTAATGATGCGTTTGATGAATATTTCAGGGATCTATGTTTATATGTATATTTAATTTTTATTAGAAAAATTCAACAATCTGTAGGTACAATAAGTTGAAGTGATAGACAGGTAGTCAAATAGAAAAAATAAAACAGTGCATGTGGGCGGCAACCAGTGACGGCACTATCGGCAAGAGATATATTATATTCAATTTAATCGCATGTTTTTAACGGTAGACAATAGGTATTCGTGAATAAAAGCAATCTTGAACCTAATATATCGTTAAAACTATTATAATAATATGTATATTTGTTCACACGTTAGGTCAGGTATTTATATTATATTTGTTGCTAACTTTCAGAAATAAATATTAGTCTTCTGGATAATATATAATATTATGCATAATGAACAGATTAATTAAAATATATCTATTGTGCCTAATAATTCGCCTAATCAAAATAGTTGTATTGTTATTACGTTGTGTAGTCAAATAGTTCTGAAAATGTCTAGTGCTATTGATTGGAGAATAATTATTATTGTTCTAGCGATAAACTGAACAGTGAACAGTGGACACTGACTACCTAGCCATCAATCGACTAATTAATATTCATGATATTCAATTCTCATATAAAGTACATACAACTCAAAAATTAATTTTGTGTTCATATAAAAGTACAATACAGTACAATTATAATACAACAAATTAATTTTTATGATATATAATACAAAAAATGTTTACCTCATCGTAAATGCTGAAAAAGTGACACTTTCAATTTTCACTAAACAATAACTTTAAAATATGTTAAGTACCTTAAGGGCAATAAAATATGTAACTTAAACTAAAAAACTAAAAAACAGAAACTATATAGTATTTTATAAAATCTTTAAACTTATAAAAATAGCTTTTGTCTATATTTTACTTATTTCTCGCCTTAGCCGTTCAATTCATCTTGGCGAGTATGGTGACCGTTACGATTTCACAAAATTATAGTTCTGAAAACTACTAACTAGGTATATTGTAATATTGAAAATACCATGGAGTATAAACATATTATTAACTATAAAAAAAATATAAAACTATTTTTTTTTAGTTAATATGTCTATGGAAAATACCTACTCTCGTAATTTGTAATGACGTGATACCAACTTAAATGTTAATATTGTTAACATGAAATATAATTTAAACATTGCATGATATCCAACCTAGATGAAAAATTAACATTAAATGTATTTCATTATGATACCTATTTATTATTTACTAATATTATTAGGTATTTATAATTACAAATCGGTTATTTTCACATGATATTCTTGCGAGTGGCTACACTGATTTTTAAATATATTAAATATATTTACTGTGACGTCCGCCGAGGGCAACGGTGAACTTTACTTACTCTACTAGTCGAGTTTACGTTGTTTAGAGGTAAAATATTGTTGTAAAAATAATAGTTTTAGATTTTGTACGTCGTTACGGTATTAAGTCAAGACAAAGATCTAGTGATTGTTTTCCTTTTCTCTAAATCCTATCAGCACTATCCGTCTATTTAATAGAAAGACACTTTGACACGCCATAATGGTACGCGGAAGAGCCAACGTCTGTCGGTCGAATTTTCTATTAAAACTGATGTGGAAAGGTAGGTTGAAATGTACATTACAAGGCGGCAAACAATATCGAATAATGGTTATTTTGTTAATAAAACGTTATTTCTTCATTATCTAATCCCGCAAATTGTATATAAAGATTTAAGTACTTATTACGCTGACACAATACACAATACTCCTGTACACACTTTTTGCGTACCTAGAGTACCTACCTACCGTATCTAATATTATAGGTTGAAACTTGACTAAGTACTTTACTAGTTTGTTAAATCACGTTTCTCAAATTTATTAGATATTAATAATGATTCAGTTCGACAATAAATACTATATTCAATTTAAAATAGGTACATTGAAAGGTGAAAACTGATCTAAGATATATTTTATTAAGGTAAACATATAGGGTGAAGTGGGGTAATTGTAAATATTATAAATTAAGAAAGCTGAATTTTATTCTTACTATTTATTGTTTTTTTGATTTTTTGCATAGTATAAATTAATGGCTCTTCAAAATATAAGGTTTCATATTATGAAAAAAAAATTCATTTTCAAAAATTTCAATTTTTATTTATATTACAATTGCCCCATAAAGAATTATTAACATTTTTTTGGGGTAATTGTAATTAATACAATTGAACCTATTGACTATTATGCAATTGCAGTAACTGGGGCAATTGTAAATACCTACCTAATACAACTACATTTTTTAATAAGCTCATAAATAATAATAATATACAAACAATTATGATCAATAAATATTTAAACTAATAATAATCCCAAAAAATAAAAAAAGTTTGATTTTTAATTGATAATCTTAAGAATCAACGAACAATTATTAGAGTAATTAGAATGATTAATTTTTTCAGATATTTTAAAAGAAGATAGGTAAGAGTCATTTCAAAATAGGTACCTACATATTTCAGGTAAAATTATTTTGATAAATTAATGGAAGTTAAAAACATACCTAAGCTATGATCAGTGCACATTCCTTACCAACTATTGTTTAAGATTTAAAATAAAATTATAATGCATAATGCAAGTTGTAAGAATTATAACTATGATTTATTGCAGATACATATTTAGGAATATATTTCATTAGACATAGCAAGGAATATGTGGTTTTAAAATTAAATTAGATACCTACCTAATTAATTAATATTATAAACTGCAGCCTTTGTGAGTGGTGTTAATACGTATTGTGAATAATAATATATTATTATAACTAGGATTATAATGTTACTTCTCCGATTATTTTTTTTATCAATTGATAAATAAAACTACTTATTTCATACAAAACGAACATTTCAGAAATAAATATTTTAGAAAATAAGGACCATGGAGATATTTTAACAGCAATATATTACCAGCAACATATTATATGGTTCATTTTTTTCGCTATCATTTTCAAAAGAGCACTACTTTGTCTGCCCCGTCACACTGGTAAATCTATAAATCAAATTTAATCCAATAACTGTGTCAGAAAGTAACGTATATTATATATTATATTATGTATGTTTAACCATTTCATAAATAAAATTCTGTATCATCATTTCGACAGTGATATAAAAATATTTTAACACAAAGGTATAAGTAGTCGTATTATATATAAATTAACGAGTTTGTTAAATTAAATATTCTCCTTTTAATATTTATATTCATGAAGAAGTCACATGAAAAATAAAATATAATTTCACATCATAAATATTAAATTTAAAAAATAAAGGTTGATTAAGTGCATGTTAAAAATATTTTATAACGGTAGGTATTTGAATATGTTCATAATATTATTTATTAATTAGAGTTATGTTTTACCATATTATATATTTTAATTTGTAACTATTATTTTAAAATACATATTATAATCACGTGTATTCATATCTTATAAAGTTGAAAGGAAAATGTACTGGATGTTCTTTAGCTTAATATTCTGTAATAGAACGTTAACATTTGTCATTTGAAGTAGCAAATAATAATATTGCAATATTAAATAAGCAAATGTGTTCAGTATTTTCCCAGCCCAAATAATAAATATAATAACACACATATGGTTCGTTATGCATCATAATAATATAATAAATATTTTTTTACAATAATTTACCACGGATTAGACCCTTAACCATTCTCACTATTATTTTCAAAGTACATATATCGCATTAAGTATAGTTTCTTTATTTCCATTATTTTATTTTTTTGAATTCGACTTCGTAGTTTTGTCGAAACCGCGTCTCTTGTCGCTTCTTTTTTTTCTTATTAACGTTCTTTGTTCTCCGTTCTTCATACATAATACAACGCACTCAATGGGCCCTCGGGTTTCCCTTGTTTTCACTAGCCCATACACACTTGTGTCCACTGCCCGCGCCACCTTTGTTTTTTTCCCACCCTTGTCTACGAGCGTTTCTTCCACTTTTATGTTCTCCGTATCTACATTGTAAACTTTGTCTTCTGTGCTTTCAATTGCTCCGTCTGTAGCTCCTTTACCCCGTTCGGCCATCACCGTATCCCTTTATCGACTCATTTTTCCCTTTACCCGTTGTACTCTTTATGAGCAATTTCTTCGCCAGTTTCACCCTTTCTTATATTTTTCATTTAAGATCCCCATACTAAGAGACACTATTCTCAAATGATTATCAACACGAACTCCAGACCAATATAATTGAACTGCATCATATCGCATAAAACAAAATCCGAAGAAAACCTTTCTACCTAAGTGGTTTTGAAGACAACACATTGTTAATTTAGTATTAAAATTGTTTTTTCTTTTATATAGGTTTAGGTAGGTACCTACTACTTATGTATAATAAGTTTTACTGAAAATATTTTAAATACATATACACACTCAAAAAATATTTATAAGCAAGTAATATATTATATTATAATATTTCAAGCTTTATTTAATTTTTTTAGTTTAGTAGGTAGTCATAAAATTAAAAATTCATCAATTATATTATTACCTATATAATATTATTATTATTATTATTATTTGATTTACTTATAGTACCTATTATGGGCTGTAATCAGTTTAAATTACACTACAAGGGAAAAATAAATTAATGCATGGATTAAAAAATAACATATAGGTACCTACACACAACTAATGGACCATATATTTTTTTTGTTATATTTATAATAATAATATATAATATACTACCCATGTAGTCAATAATCTATATTTATTGAGGTTTTGTATAATATTCAATTAGTTATTAATTTATTATAATCATACCAGATTTTGTTCACAAAATAAAGTTATCGCGTAGCTATTAATATTTAATATTAGGTAGATACTACAACATATAATAATATAATTACAATTTTTTTTCAATAACAGAAATAACATTTCATTTTTTTCTCTAAAAATTACAATTACATAAGATCTAAAATTTCATTTTGTTAATTTATAAATTAAAAAATCATTTCACGTATTCATTAAATTTAAATTAATAACTTTGAAGGAAATTATGTGAGTACAAAACAAGAACGTATTACTATAGGTACGATTTTACAACAGTACAAATAATTCATTTTTGTCCCGGAAATAATTTTAGAACGGAACAAATATAAATTGTATGTTGGCTTAGAATGTATTAATATTTTGTACATTTTTTTGTTGACAACTATTCTATGATAATTAAAACAAATAATCATATAATAAATAATAATTTTGGTTATAGTTTTTCATGGTTAAAAAAAACCCCTGTACAACTGAATACTTCAATAATGGAAATAACTTAAACATAATATCTTTATATGAATCAATGTACATAAGTGCATCTGTTTTTAAAACATATCTGGTACCTATCAATTATATTTATAATTATCAATTTATATTTTATATAAATGCATTTTAAATGCTGTTTTTAATTTTAGATTCTGAGCGGAGCGATGAATGTATTGGTTTTACAATGATGTATGTTTTTTTTTATATTTTTATTTATATTTTTGTGTCTGTCATCACGTTTTAGGACAGTAAAAATGCTTGGATTTTCTTCATCAGTAGCTTTTCTGGTAGGAAAGTGAATCTAGTTGGTACTTTGGGGGGTCAAAAGTATAAATTTCCCAGTAGTTTTCACAAGCGCCGGGAAAAACAACATAAAAATTAAGGAAAAACAGGAATTTTTACGCAAAATTGGTTTTCCAAAAAATCGATTTTGGTTATTGGTGTAACTCTAAAACAAATGAACGTATATACATGAAATTTTTACTGGTTGTTTATATTTGCATTTTCTATACACGATAACATTTTCAAAATATTTTGATTTATTTTGAACTGTTTAGGGACATTTTCATTTTCCATTTTTTTTTAGTTTTTTTTCTAAAAATATCAATAAAATTTTATTTATTGGTTGCGAAAGCTTGAAAATTTAATAGAAGGTTCCTAATATGTTTTTTAAAAGGCAGATGAAAAATATTAAAAATCCTTAGTCACAATTTTTTTTTATAAGCATTTAAAGTTCAAAAATTGACAAAATATGGAAAAATCACGAAAATTAGCAAATTATTTTGAGTTAAGAATTCGTAAAAATTTTTCTATTTAAATCTAAGATTTGAAAATGAAACACAAGATTCCTTATAAGATTATCTACCTTTATCAATAAAAAAATCTCTACCGGACAGTCAAATTAAATTTTTATGAGCGTTTGAAATTCAAATTTTTACAACATTGGATTTTCACTCGATTACTCATGTAGCGATTTCCTTATTTTGTTGCAATTCAAAAACGAACAACTGTAGATACATGAAAATTTCACTGAATGTTTAAATTAGCATTTTCTATACACCATACAATTTTGAAAATATTTTGACTCTTTTTGAGCTGTTTATGGACATTTACAGCTTTCAATTTTTTTTAGTTTTTTTTTCTATAAATATCAATTAAGGTGTATCTGTTGGGCCAAAAAGTGTAAAAATTTAATACAAGGCTCCTGATATATTGTTACAATATCAGTTGAAAAATATTAAAAATACATAGGCATGATTTTTTTTTATAAGCATTTAAAGTTGGAATTTTGACAAAATTTATCAAAATCTCGAAAATTATCAATCGTTGGAATTAAAAAATTATAAAATGTTCAGTTTTTATAACTAAGAGTTGAAAATTTAAAACAAAGGTTCTCTTAAATAATTCATACTGTAACCAAAAAATCTAAAAAATATATAAACACACTTATTTTTTACAGACATTTTAATTTCAAATTTAGACAAAATTTCATATTTAAACCAAGAATTACGATTTTAGTTATTTTGTTTTGATTGAATAATATTATTCGTGGGTACTTGAAACTTCTAAAGTGTACTATTATATATCTATGATAGTATCACGGTTTTTGTTGATGTATAACGCGTTATAAGTATCTAATGGATATTGTGATATGATTAGTTTGTAATTTATTATAGGTACCTATAATAGGTCAATTTTTTGTTTAATACCAATATACCATAGATATGTATATAATATGTCTTATACATAGACTGACATACCGTCACCGCTCAGAATCGTTTTTCTTATACAATGATATTATATCATTGAATTCAAATTTAATACCATCCATTATACAGTGACCCACTTGTAACCTACTGTACAGCAGAGCGACACCCACTTGCCCACCTTTTTTATATTAGTATGCCACATTATCATTCATTGTATAGGTACTATATTATTACAGTCATATCATATTTATATAGGTACTGATTTAGATGATAGGTTCTAGAAAATTAAATATTAGTTATTCCTTATATCTTAGGTATTAAATTAATATGACTTATCAAATTCTCAAATCCGTATAATATTAAACATATTTATTACTATTTTTAACGTACATGAAGTTGGAAATGCCATGTCGAGATAATTTTACAAAACTTGTGCCCTGACTATTTTATAAATGTTAAAAGCGATGTTCTTTAGACGTTTCAGAAATATTGTTTTGTATAAATATGAGTAATACATTTAAATTATGCTGTAACACGTTACTCAAATTAGCAGCACTCTAAAAGTAATTTGTAAAAGTATTTTTTTTTTCTTAACAAGTTGGAATGAAACCCATAAAAAACAAACCACGTTGAAACTCGTGCAGGAGACGCTAATAACAGTTGCAAATGTTTTCGGAAAATATTTTTTGATTCATATCCGCGGGTGAACAGTAATGAAATAATAGTTCACTGTGACTATAACCACAAGCCATATTTTTTCCTTCTTCCTTATTTTACGACCAATGAAGAAGGGTAAAGTTTCAAAAGCAGTAGAAATTTAACAGGATGAAATAAGGAGAAAACAGGAAAAATGTAAATAAAAAAAAATAAAGCACACTCAGGATTGTAAAATTAAAAGAAAAAGTAAACGGAAAAGTTTACCGTGTAAAATAATCCGGAGAATCGAATGAAAATTTCCTCGGCGAAAGAACGATGGTCTTCTAGTAAATGGTCATTGGGGATGGAGGAGTGGTTTTTAATCTGTCGACGGTCGACGACGTTCAAATTAAACTTTCGCTCCAATATGAATCGAGTAAGGGGCGTAGTGGGACGCAGTTGACGCGATGCAATTTAAAAACGAATCGTAAACTCAACAACGAACAGGAAAAATACCAGTTCATTAAAAAAAAAACATAACTTTTCCCTTAGAGTATATTATTATTATATATATATATTTCTAACACTTCAACACGATAATTATAATTAGCGTTTACGTACATTTATTTACAGAACTCGTCTAGTCATAATATTAAATATATAGTTTATATCGATGGCTAAGAGGCCAAAAGTTGTATGTCCCAAACACTAAATTTTTCGGGAGAGCAGTTTTAAGATTTTAAATTATTCTACACCAAATAATTTGCGTTGTAGATTTTTGTTTTTCGGTGTTGCAACTGATTTATTTGTAAAATATTCTGTAGATCACATAAATTATTACTTTTAGGTTTTAAAATTTTTTCAAACGTAATTAAAATGTTTCTTTTAAATTTAAATGGGACTTGTTATGAATGGCAATTATAATATATTTTTACCGTGGACATATAAGGTTTTGATGGACATATTAAAAGTTGTTAATTTAATATAAACTCTAATTAATTTATTACATAAATAGTTAAAATGTACATGACTTATTTTTTTAATATAAAAAATTCAATTTGTTTATAAAATTGCAGTAAAAAAGTAAAAATATAAAATATATTGGAATTTTTTATTGAATGTGAAAAATAATAAATAGGCATTTTTCATCAAATTTTTAGTCGAATAAAACCAGTGTTTAATGATATTTTATGCTAAGTGAAGATATCATATTATTTAGTGTAATTTAAAATTAAAAATTTTTATTATTTAAAATAATACGTCCGGACATATTATTTTTTTATAAATAGATAAACAAATTCAATATTATCTAAAACATTACACGTCCAAAATTCAATAAATTGTTTTTGACAAAAGTAACGAGTCCGGACTTGTTATATTTGTCCGCTTAGTATTTAGATCATGTTAAAATATTTATCGTATGTCTCA